TCTGATAATGGACTTTTTAAAAATTGTGTTAGGGGTGCTTGGGTGGCTCACGTGGGTGCCTGGGTGGCTCGCGTGTACGACTTCAGCTCAGGTCATGAGCTCATGGTTCGTGAGTTCGAGCCCCGCATTGAGTTCCCTACTGTCAGTGTGGAGTCCGCATTGGAGTTTTGGATCCTCTGTCACCCTCTCCCTTTGTCCCTCCCCCAATTGCACGCACACGTGTGCGCGCTCTCTCTCTGTCTCTCTCTCTCAAACTAGCTAACTGAATAAAAATTGTCACCTGCGTATAACAAATTTTGCCTTCGTCACCATTTTTAACGGTTTATTTCTGTGACACTGAATACATCATGTTTTATTTATGAATACATTTGCATGTAATCTCATATAAATGAGCTATCATGTTAATAAAGAGTAGTAAGCGGGCTCTTGCAGCTCAGAAGCACCTGACTCCCTTCTCTGGCTCTTAGTGACGCTGTGCGAGGGGCCCAACAAGTTCAAGTGCCACAGCGGCGAATGCATCACCCTGGACAAAGTGTGCAACTCGGTCCGGGACTGTCGGGACTGGTCGGACGAGCCTCTGAAGGAGTGCGGTGAGCCGCGGGATGCAGGTGGCTCTTGAACTTGTGGGGAGCTGGAGTGGGACTCAGACATGGATACTTTGGGGCTGCAAGGCTCCTGCCCAGCCGTGCCCGTGAGTGCTTTAGCTCCGGGGCGACACGGACATGGGGGTCCTTGGGGATAAGGGGCTTTGTTTCCAAGCCTGTGGTCACATCTGTAGGATGGGACAGTGATGGTTCACATACCCTGCTGGGGGGTGGCTGACGGGATGCTTGTAAAGTTTCAGCAGTGCTCCGTGAACCATAACTATGTAAATATTTTGGACTTTACCAGCTGTAAGGTCTGTCACAGCTATTCAACGGGGTGTTATAGCAAGAAAACGGCATACAGATGTACACGCATGCGCACGTGAATGCGTGTGGCTGTGCTCCAAGAAAACCTTATTATGGACACTGATGTTTGGATTTCACAGACCTTTTATGTGGCACAAAATGCTGGTTTTCTTTGGATTTTTATTTTTCTTTTCAACCATTTAAAAACCGTAAAACACTGTCCTTAGCTTTCGGGCAAGAACAGATGGTGGGTTGGCTTTGGCCGAAGCCCTGTGAAAAGCGCCAGGTCGTGGATGCTGGACCTTAAGCGCCCTGAGTCCGGTCCAGCACTGTTGGGCAAGTGATTTAGCCTCGCCTGGGCCTCAGTTTCCCCAACTGTAGTTGAGCTATCTATAGGGCTGTTGGGAGTTCGTATATGCAACTGTGGAACACAGTTTTTATTTTTTTATCATCAAGAACATTTTGAAATGTGGTTGACAAAAAAATAACGTTCAGATTTACCTTCTTAACCAGTTTTAGGGGTAACGTTCAGCAGTGTTAGTACATTTGCGTGGTCCTACAGCCCTCACCACCATCCATCTTGAGAACTTCCTCATCTTCCCAAACTGGGCCTCTGTGCCCGTGAAACACTGACTCCCCGCCCCCTCCCCCAGCCCCTACCCCCCCCCCATCTACTTCCTGTCTCTGACTTTGACTCCACTAAGGACCTCCTAGGAGTGAATTCTCCAGTATTTGTCCATCTGTGCCTGGTGTATTTCACTCAGCGGAATGTCCTCCAGGTTCATCCGTGGCATTGCACGTGACAGTGGTTATTTTAAGACCTTTTAGGGGACTTGGTAGTTCACTGGCCTCCACGTCATTGTGGTGATTACGATAAGGCTGATGAGATAGTGCAGGGAGGCTGATGACCTGAGCGTGACCGGTCTGTGTCCCTCCTGTTGCAGAGACCAACGAGTGTCTGGACAACAGGGGCGGCTGCTCCCACATCTGCAACGACCTCAAGATCGGCTATGAGTGCTTGTGCCCCGAGGGCTTCCAGCTGGTGGACCAGCGAAGATGTGAAGGTGATTCCCGAGCCACCTCGGCCCTTTCCCCTTGTGTGGTGGCCCAACCCTCTGTGCCTCAGTTTCCCCGTCTGTTAAGTGGGCACGAAAGCGGTCCTGACCTCACAGGCCTGTAGGGAGGATTTGATGAGGTGCCAAATGCACGGGCCATTCTAGCACAGGCTTGGCCCCCGAGGAGCACCCTGTCCTTGCCTTTGGGGATTAATAATTAAGAAAGAAATCTCGGCTGACGCAGCCTTTGCTCTGCTTGGCTGCACCCCTGAGGTGAACGGGCAGGTCAGGGTCACTGCTGGAGATGACACTTGGCTATTTCAATGTGTTCGTTTCTGAACCTGATGGTCACCAAGACCCCGCCACTGGGAGGGATGGCTTTCGGTGGGAGCCCTCACTCCCATCAGCACCCCATGAGGAAGAAGCCCCAAACCCCTTTCTGTGTCCCGGCTTGCAGATATCGATGAGTGTCAGGATCCCGACGTGTGCAGCCAGCTCTGCGTGAACCTCGAGGGCAGCTACAAGTGCGAGTGCGAGGCGGGTTTCCAGCTGGACCCCCTCACCAAGGCCTGCAAGGCTGTGGGTGAGCCAGGGGCGGGGGCGGGGACGGCGCCGGGAGCAGATGCGGTGGCGGGTTTCATCATGTGAACTTTGCATACACTCCAAAGACCCGGGCAGACCGTGTGCCCTCTGGCAGAGGGATGAGCGGCCCAGTTAGGAACTTGCTGGGAGGCTGCCCGCACATGTCCAGCTTCTCTGGGGACACAGGTCAATTGCACAGGGAATGGTTTGCGGCCCCCAGCCTGGCCAATGGCTTTAGGGGACAAGAGGTGAAAAGCAATGGCCCTATGAAGGGCCTGCTCCCCCTCCAGCTGTTTTGGGAGGTCTTTTTGTTTTTTGTTTTTCTTAGAGCTAGAGCATGAGTGGTAGGAGGGGGAGAGGGAGAGAGAGAGAGAGAGAGAGAGAGAGAGAGAGAGAGAAAAGGAATTTTAAGCAGGCTCCACGCTCCGTGCAGAGCCAGACATGGGGCTCAATCCCACAACCCTGGGATCATGACCTGAGCCCAAACCAAGAGTTGGATGCTCAACCGACTGAGCCACCCACGCACCCCTTGCTGAAATATTTTAGATCGCCTTCCGTTTCCTCAAGGATCTGTTTTAACCTTGAAGTTTTTCTCCCCTGTTGTCATCCCTTTGTGACTGTTCCTTGGGCTCCCTCTGTCACACCCCTGTGCGTTTCCTGGTTCTGGGGAAAACTGGGGACAGAGATCATAAAACCCTCTAGGATTTGAGATACTACTTTCGTTCCAACCTGTAGGGCCAGTGTCTATACAGATCCTTCCCAGGGGTAGGCGTGGTGTTGTGGGGAGGGGTCCTGAGTGAGGTCCATTGTTCCCGTGGTCAGCTCATTGGTGAATGTCAGTGTCATGGTTACAGCACAGCCGCCAGAGTCGGGACAACGTGGGTTTGAGTCCCAGCTCTGCCGTTTACTAGTTGGTGTGACCTTGGGCTGGTCCCCTCCCCTCTGAGCTCCGATCCCCTTCTGTATAAAGGGACTTTGACAACACCCCTGGCCTCCTAGGAGTGTGAGGATCAGTGAGGGAAAACGTGATATGAACAGCACTGAGCAGAATTTACTGCCCTAAGGAATCCCTGTGGACACATTAACTTATCATTTCTTCATATTTATGTTCCAAAATGTAAAATGCTGGGGACCCAGTGTTTTATTTATTTTTTAAAGTTTATTTATTTTGGGAGAAAAGGACAGAGTGCATGAGCAGGGGAGGGGCAGAGAGAGAGAGAGAGAGAGAGAGAGAGAGAGAGAGAATCCCAAGCAGGCTCCAGGCCCTGCACTGTCAGCACAGAGCCAGATGCAGGTCTCGAACTCACACACTTTGAGATCGTGACCTGAGCCAAAGTCAGATGCTTAACTGAGTGTGGGACCCAGTGTTTTAAAATGTAGGTTTTGTTATCATTCAAGCATGGTGAGGCCAGCAGATCAGGAGACGACCCCACTGGAAAGATTGGTTGTTACAGTTCCCAAGAGGAGGGGGCGTGGCAGCCCCAGGGGCCATACGGGGAAGCGCCAGGTTGCTCCGAGGGAGAGTGAGAGGGGCACACGTGGGCTGGAGCCTCTTGTGGTTTCCTCGGGCGTGAGGTGAGGCAGGGTGAGCAGGCTCACGACTGGCTGGACGGGAGAATCCCAGCAGGCTCTGGGGCCGGGGCGCTGCTCGTGCTGTCTGGTGTCTGTCCCAGGGTGACCCGGGCAGGCGGGTGGATAGTGGCCCAGAGTGCGAGAGCCCAGTAGAGGGGGTGGCAGGTATGGGCTGGCTCGTTTGCACTTGAGGCGGGTTGTGAACAGTCCCTAGGAGCTGGCTGGCCCTGGGAGGGGCTGTCCCTTCTGCTCTGCAAGGCCCAGGATGTCAGGGCCTCAGAACCACATGGTTAATACACTAGGGGGGCCTTTTCCGCCCCATCCTGGGTGTCTTCTCTGGTTCAGTCAGACCCCAAAGGGTGACAAGCGGGAATCGGGGGGTCCTTCTGCTCCCCTGAGCGTCCTTCCTGTGTTCCCAGGCACTATCGCCTACCTGTTTTTCACCAACCGCCACGAGGTGAGGAAGATGACCCTGGACCGCAGCGAATACACCAGCCTCATCCCAAACTTGAAGAACGTGGTCGCCCTGGACACCGAGGTGGCCAGCAACAGAATATACTGGTCCGACCTGTCCCAAAGGAAGATCTACAGGTGAGCCTTGGAGCCACACCCAGCGCTCAACCCCCGGTGGCTCGGGGGCCCCTCTCACTGACGCTCTCCTTCCCCCTGCTCCTCCCCCTCAGCGCCCAAATCGACAGAGCCCCCGGCTTCTCCTCCTATGACACCGTCGTCAGCGAGGACCTCCAGGCCCCCGATGGGCTGGCGGTGGACTGGATCCACAGCAACATATACTGGACAGACTCCATCCTGGGCACCGTCTCCGTGGCCGACACCAAGGGTGTGAAGAGAAAGACGCTCTTCAAGGAGAAAGGCTCTAAGCCACGTGCCATCGTGGTGGATCCCGTTCACGGGTGGGTGCTGCTAAAGCCGAGGGCCACGGAAGGAACGGAGAACACGGGCGGGGTTCAAGAACTGGTTAGGGCTCCAACCGGGGGAAGGCGTGTGCCCCAGCTGGACTGTCCCCAGCCACAGCGGCTCCTGCTCTCAGGAAAAAGCAGGACCTGAACAGTCGCCCTTCCCCCACCCACCCTTTGGGAGCCAGGGGCCGATCCCTCTTGAGGTTCGCTGTGGTCCCCGAGATGGGAGCGGGCCCTGGAAAGCTGTGCCCTCAGGACGAGAGCCCCAAAACCAGAAGTTAGAATATGGATTTTTTTAAAGTTTATTTATTTACTTTGAGAGAGATGGTGTGAGCAGGAGAGGGGTGGAGAGAGAATCCCAAGCAGGCTCCATGCTGTCAGCACAGAGCCCGATGCGGGGGCTCAAACTCACAAGATCATGAGATCAAGACCTGAGCCGAAACCGAGTCAGACCCTTAACCGACTGAGCCACCCGGGCTCCCCAAAGTAGGGATGTTTAAAATGGTATTCAAAATTAGTACTTATTTAAATCCCAATTTGGGATTTTATGGCCGAGTATCCTGTGCCTGGACAGGAAAGGTCAGAACAGTCAGCCCTGATGGTAGTTTTGGGGAGGACGTCACAGGGAGTGAAGGTCGCCACGCCTCGGAGCCCCCAGGAGGGTGTTTGCAGGGCCCGCGGCTGACTCAGCAGCTCTGGGGCCCACTTGGGGGGTACCTGTGTCCCCGCCCCGTGTACTGCGCCTGTTACACCACACCTGCTGGGTGTGGAATTGCACAATTCTGGAAGGGCAGCCTGGCGGCAACAATCAGAGGAAAGGGGAACTCGGGAGAGAAGCACGAATCAGGTGGGCTAGAGCTGGGGTGCAGGTAGGCCTGGGTCCCCATTGAACAAAACATTTGTTCTCGTTTGGCGGAGGCCCACTCGGTTGAGTGACTTTATTCCCGCAGCTTTCAGAAAGAGAGAGACTCCCGGAGAAAACCACTTATATCCAAGTCGTGGTGCGTGCGTGCGTGTGTGCGCGCGCGCGTGTGCCGTCTGCTCTCGTGTTTCTTTCCCCCCACAAATAGCCACACGTGATCACACAGTGTTCATCTGGCTTTTTCGTTTGGCGTATGGGGTTCATTCCCTGTTGGCTCGTTGAGCCACGATTTCCTTGTACCCAGTGCGTGGAAATTTAGTTATTTTTCCCCCTTACCTCACACAAAGGCTGCAGATACCTTTGAATACCTTTGAATGTGAGTCACTGCAGTTTACCTGCAGGACTGTAGATTCTAGATTCTTCATTCCGGAAGTTGGATTACTAGCTCCGGGGGTACGGGCGTGGATAGAGCAGCAAATTGTCGTTCAGCACCTGGATTGTGAAACCGACCTTGCGTCCAGAAGGGCCCCCGAAGACTCCTTTCCCTCACTGTCGGCAGCAGGTTTTCACTCTTGCCAGTCATTATGGGGAGACTGCTGGTACATTTGTGTACTTGTGAGTTCGAGCATCTCTTCAGAGGCTCAAAAGCCATCGGAGATCCGCTTCTAAGTGTAGATGGGAAAGCAGCGAACGCAGGCACGTGAGCAGGGATTTGTAGCCCCACGTTCACAGCTGCCAGGGTATGGGCCCCCCCAGTGGACGAAGGAGAAACTAGATGTGGTCCGTCCACCCAATGGCATTTTACTCAGTCTCAAAAAGGAAGTAAATTCTGGCACCAGGGACGAACCTTGGGGACATTATGCTAAGTGCAAGAAGCCAGACACAAAAGGACACATATTATAGGATTCTACTTCCAGGGGGTCCCTAGAGGAGTCCCATTCATAGAGTCAGAAAGCCGAGTGGTGGGTGCGGGGGGCTGGGGGAGGTGAAGGAAGAGGCGGCATTTAATGGGGTCAGAGTTTCAGCTTGGGAAAATGGGAAAGTTCCGGGGATGGCTGGTGGGGATGGCTGCATGGCGGTCTATGTGTACTTAATGCCACTGACTGGATACTTAAAAACGATCAAGATGGTTTGGGGCGCCTGGGTGGCTCAGTCGGATGAGTGTCCGACTTCGGCTCAGGTCATGATCTCACGGTTCATGGGTTCGAGCCCCGTGTCGGGCTCTGGGCTGATGGCTCAGAGCCTGGAGCCTGTTTCGGATTCTGTGTCTCCCTCTCTCTGCCACTCCCCCACTCATGCTCTGTCTCTCTCTGCCTCTCAAAAACAAACATAATAAATAAATAACAATCAAGATGGTTTATGTGGCGTATATTTTGCCACAATTAAAAAAATCGTTTTAAAGCAAAAAAAAAAAATTATAAAATTAAAAATGTATAAAAGCCTTCAGAAAGGCTGAAGGGTATACATTACGGGTCCTGGTCCTGACGTTGGAATCAAAGTCTCCCTTTGTTCTTGAAGGTTCTAAATCCTGCCAGGTCTCCCCATGTTGCAGGCACTAGGGTAGCAGAAGAACCGGTCCAAGGTCTCCTTGGGGGGCTTCTTACAATTCCTGGCCTACTGCTCCAGATGGAGGCTGCTCTTCGGGGCACGCTGGGCGCCTCCGCCACTGACCTTCTCCTGTTCATGCTACTCTCCCACCAGCTTCATGTACTGGACGGATTGGGGAACCCCCGCCGAGATCAAGAAGGGGGGTCTGAACGGCGTCGATGTTTACTCGCTAGTGACGGAGGACATCCAGTGGCCCAATGGCATCACCCTGGGTATGTCCTTGGGACCGTGGTCCCTGGGGTCCACACGGCCCCGGAATGGGGTTGTCACTCATACATGGCGGTGGGTTGTTGGGGCTACTTTTCTGGGCACGTCTCCGCCGGCTCCTTGGGGGTGCTCCTTCCTGCGGGGAGTGGAGTGGCCAGGCCCGGGCCCCTTGGGCGTCGGCGTGTGACCTCTCCTTGTCCACTGTGGGTTCTAGATCTTTCTGGTGGCCGCCTCTACTGGGTTGACTCCAAGCTCCACTCCATCTCGAGCATTGATGTCAACGGGGGGAACCGGAAGACCGTTTTGGAGGATGAGAAAAAGCTGGCACACCCCTTCTCCTTGGCCATCTTTGAGGTGGGGGCTGGAAGCAAGTGGTTGCTCCTTGGGCGCCTGAGGGGATTCACATCCAAGTCCCGGTTACTGAGCACGACTGACATAGGAGGCATAAGCGCTCAGGCTAATGGGTCAGCCCACATTGTCTAGTTCATCCAAGCCAGGACTAACTTAGAAGATTGTCTGTGGCTGTAAAAAGGTCTTAGATCTGGAGTTATTTCTATTTTCTTCTCATCGAAAGAGTCAAAGAGTTGTTGCTTGGTTTTTTGGGGTTTTTTTTTATGTTAATTTTTTCTTTGAGACAGAGATCACAAATGGGGGAGGGACAGAAAGAGAGGTTGAGAGAGAGAATCTCGAGCAAGCTCCATGCTGTCAGCACAGAGCCTGACGCAGGGCTAGATCCCACAAACCATGAGATCGTGACCCGAGCCGAAATCAACAGTCAGACGCTTAACTGAGTCACCCAGGGGCCCCCACGTTGCTTTTTTTTCTTTTCTTTCTTTTTTTTTTTCTTAAGTAAACTCTACCCCTAGTGCGGGGCTCGAACTCAAGACTCTGAGATCAAGAGTCACACACTCTCCCAACAGAGCCCTCCGAGCACGCCCTCTCCAAAAGAGTCTTAGAGTAGGAATTCTCACTTGGAGGCCATCTTGCCGCCCAGGGGACATTTGGCACTTTCTGAAGACTTTGGTTGTTGCACTTGAGGGGGGGTTACTAGTTCCTAGTGGATAGAGGCTGGTGACCACCCTTCAAAGAGAAGAGGGGACCAGCCAAAGTGGGTTGTCTGGCCCGAGTAGCGCCACAGCAGAGAACGGCTCTGAGGAAATGTTGCTATATTCGTACACCCGTGTTCAAGCAGCAGGATTCACAACAGCCCAGAGGTGGAAGCGACCTGGGTGTCCCGTCAGAGCCGATCTGCTAAACAAGATGTGTATCTATACACTGGAATGTGGTTCAGCCTGAAAAAGGAAGGAAATTCTAACACATGCTCCAACACGGACGAGCCTTGAGGGAACTAAGCCAGACACAGAAGGACAGATGCTGTAGAATTCCATTTTTTTTTTTTAAACTTTTTAAAGTGCGCATGCGGGCGAGCAAAGGAGGGGCAGAGAGAGAGGGAGACGGAATCCCAAGCAGGCTCGAACCTCAGATGTGGGGCTGGAACTCATGAACCATGAGATCATGACCTAAACTGAAATCAAGAGTCGGATGCTTAACCAACTGAGCCACCCACGCGCCCCTGTAGAATTCCACTTACATGAGGTCCCTAGAGGAGTCCCATCCATAGAGACAGGAAGTAGATGGGGGGGG